ACGCCCCACGACTCTGGCAGTTCTTTCCCCAGCGAGCGAAAGGCGAGCGACTGTCCTCCGGCGTAAGGGAATGCTAGCAGCTTCAACCCGCCTTCGCTGCCATCCTTAAACTTTCGCAAGCCGATCCGGCCATCCCAGAGTCGTGTGAATCGTCCTCCTGCGTTCGACATATGCACGGTTTCCAATTGATTTCTGCGGAGCTGCGATTCGGAGTGAGTGGCTGATGCGGGGCGTGGACTAACGGGGGTTCAACGCCATTGTACTTGGGGGCATTTCCAGATGTTTTACCGCAACCGCGCCCGAATGCGTTGCTCGTCTTGTGATCTTCCTGCCGCGTGATATGCCTCGGCGAGCGCCTCCAGGCATTCGCGGTTTTCGTAGTTCGTCGCCTGACAGGCCCATTCGGCCAGGCGGACGGCTTCCGCAGGGTTTCTCACCGCATCGTCCGTCGCGGTGGCCAGCACCAGGGCCAAGCCCGCGCTGGCGGCCACGGCTTGCTGCTGAGGGGGCGAGGCGTCGAGAACCGCTTGATAGCGTGCGGCGGCCTCTGCCCAACGGTCTTGGTGGCGAGCGATGAAGGCCAGTTGAAGCTGAGAGGGAATGGAGCCCGATTCGGTTTCTACCGCGGCGACGAAGTTGACAATGGCCTCTTGCTGCTTGCCGAGTTTCCACTGTACCTGGGCCAAGCGATAGTACGAGTCGGCTCGCTGGTCGTCGATGCGAACGGCCTCCTGGAACTCGTGCTCGGCGTGTCGCAGCTTCTCCTGCCGTTCGAAGACCAGCCCCAGGTCATGATGAGCATCGGCGTACTCGGGGGAGATGCTGAGGGCCTCCAGCAGTTCGCTTTCGGCCGCGGTCAGATTGCCGCTGGCCATATGCTTGCGAGCCAACTCCAGGTGGGCCTGATCGGGCCACAGCCATTGAATGTATTCCCAACGCAGTTCGTCCTTCGATAGCCCATGTGGCCAGCGGCGGAGATACACCACCAGCGATTTGTCGTCGCCAAGTTCCAGCAGCACCTCGTCCAGCTCTTCGTCGGGCGGAGGGAGAACAGAGCTGCCGAGCGCCAGGAAGCGGTTCTTTGGGCGGATAACCAAAACGCTGCTGGGTGGGTCTTCAAGAATCTCTTCCAGCGGCGGGAAGCCTTCGCTGGAGAAGGTGTTCACCGCGTAGCCATGCAGCGGTTCTTCGATGTAGCCGAGGCGTGGAATCGAGAGGAAGTACGAGAAAGGATTACAGGCCAGGATCGTGCGGTCGGCGTACTTCTCTTTGATGAGTTCAATGACTTTCAGGTTGTCGTAGTGATCGTCGAGATACTCACGGCTGCGTTCGAGCATCGCCCCGGTGCGGCGATCGTGCTCGGTGTCGGTGCCCTCGACGGCTATCGGCGGCAGGAAACGGCCACTACTGTTTGCCACATTGAAAACCACGAGAACGGCCACAAGAACCGTCGCCACTGGTCTTAGACGCGGTCGGGAAAACAGCAACAGTCCACAGGTGGTGTAGAGGAGTGGGATGGGCAGAATCAAATAACGGGGGATGGTATAAGACAACCACACTCCCATGAGCGTGCCAGTAACCACGATCCAGGCGAACACCGGAAGTGGGTTTCGAGCAATTCCATCGTGGATGGTTTTGAGGCCAAACCTTGTGCCCGGCTCGGTCTTTGTTTCGCGATATTGAGCCATCAGCCATACAGTCGCGGCCCCGACGGAGAGGATCGCCGTGAGGATGGCTACCACGACGACCTCAGGGCAACCGACGAGCACGGTGGATAGACTCTTCCAGCCCTGGGCGTTGGCCACATCCCAGTCGTCGCTGGCGGCGGTGGGAAGGCTTGATCGCCAGTTGGCCGAGAGCAATTGCAACGCGATCAGCAGCAAAGCTCCGCCGGCCCCCAACCACATCCTTCGCTGCAGGTTCGAGGGGCCTTTCCATCGTGCGAGTACCAGCAACAACAGAAAGAAACACGCGGTGGCGGCCGTAAGCACCGCGCCACTTAGCTTAATCAGGAAGGCGAACGTCGCCGCCACACCAGCGGCCAGATAGCGACGCTTGGAAAGATAGCCGACAACGACCAATCCCAAGGCGGCCAGCGGCAGGTCCATGCCAATCATGTCGACCTGTACTGCAAACACGGGTACCGTAACGATGGCCGCAGCGACTAGTCCCGCCCCGATACGGCCTGTGTGATTGTGCAGCAGGGCAAAGCTGATCACCGCCACGGCTGCGGCACATGCGAACGTGAACAAGTGCCCGATGACAAACACCGCCTGCGTCGAGGGGGCCAGCTTCATCACCACCGCCAGCAGCGTGGGCATGATACTGATGACGTAGACGGCCGGGCCACCGTCGAGGAATCTCTTTTCTTCGTAGATCAGCCGGCCGTAGCTGAAGTTGGTCTCGGCCAGGAAGTTGGCTTCGACGAATAGCCCCATCGCCGAATCCCAATACGGGGGTTCGGTGATCACAGGGCTACGCCAGAGCGTGATCATCAGCCATACCAGCAGGAATGCGCCGAGCCAGGCGAGTCGCTTTTTCCACGTCGAGGTGCGCGGAGATCGAGCGCCGACCGGAGAAGCTCTCTCGGCGGTCGCGGGCTCTTGCGGCGGCGTATCGACGATTGGTTGCACGTATGTAGGGTTATTGAGGTTAGTGACTGGGAGTTTGCAACTAGCGGACAGTTAGTTCACGCCACGGACGCTGTTGGCGGTAGTTTTCCAGACGCTTCCGCATGTCAGGCAGGCTGTCTGTTTGTTCCTGCTCGCTAGCCAGGCGGATGGCCAGCTCAGCGGTGCTGATAGCCCGGGGCCACGCTTGTGCTTCGGCGTAGGCGGCGGCCAGCGTGTCGAGGAACTCGGGGATTTGGTGTCGCGTTCGGCGGTTGGCTTCTTCGGCTAGCTGAACCGCTTCTGCGGCATTGCGATACGCGGGTTGGGGGCAGGTTGAACGGATCCACGCCAACTCGTTAGCCACCAGAGCCCACTGCGGACCTTCTTGCAATCCTGTCTGTAGGTGGGTGATCGCTGTGGGATAGTCTCCGATGGCTGCTAACGCTCTACCCAAATTATAGTGTGCGGCCACCAGATCGTTCGACAACTGAACTGCCTGCTGGCCGTAGGTGATTGCGGCCGGATAGTCACCCAATTGGATGAGCACGTTCGACAGGTTTGCATGGGCTGCGGCGAGCATGGAATCTATCGCGATGGCGGCTTCCAGTTCCGCCTGGGCCTCATTGAGTCGGCCTTGTTCCATGAACGCCGTGCCGAGCGTGAGGCGGGACATGGCCAGTTGAGGCTTTTCGGCCACCGACTCCGCAGCGAGCGACGAAGCTTCGTCGACTTCGCCGGTATTCAATAACGTTGCGGCTAGCAGAGTTTTGGTTTCCGGCCCGTGCGCTTGGGCCAGGGGAGTTTCGGTAGCTATTGCCGCACGGTACATGGCGATTGCTTCATCCAACTTCCCTTCGGAGGAGAGAGTTTGTGCGGCGACGGTCATCGCAATGGAGTTCTGAGGGTCGACTTCAAGAGCGTGTTCGGCTAGCGTCAGCGTATCGTGCCAAACTGCCACTTGCCGCCAAGTGGCGAAGGATAGTCCTCCGAGTATCGCCACACAGGCGGCCACGCGGAACACCGGCATCAGACGCAGGCTCATTGCGATATCTGCCAGCAGCCAGGCGAAAAGGATCGACAGTCCGATCGCGGGCCAATAGGTGTAGCGATCGGCGGTGGCTTGCAAGCCGACTTGCACGAAGCCGAGCGTGGGAACCAACGCCCCCAGAAACCAAAACCATCCCACGGGTGCGTAACGCGTACGATGCGTAAAGAGCAAGGTGGCCAACGAGATCGCGATGAGCAAGACGGCAGCCAGCCCGACCTGCCCTGCCGGTAACGCAGTTAGTGGATGCGGATAAAGAAAGCTCAACTCCGCCGGCCAGAAAGTACGCTCGAGGTACTGCATGCAGCCCACCAGGGCGTTCTCGATGCGGACCCCGAAAGGGAGACTATCGAGATGACTTACAGCCCCGCCCCCTTGTTGAACGGTGTACGTGATATACGACGAAACTGCCGAGAGTGCGAACAGTGGGAGTTTTTCCAAGGTGTACCAGGTAGCCAGCCGCGCGAATTTCGGCGACGGGTGATCATCTAACCGGTAGCGTCCTAGTGGCCACCAATCGAGCAGCAGTAAAACGAATGGCAGTGTCACCAGCATTGGTTTCGACATGAGGGCCAGGGTAAATAGCACGAGCACAAGCGTGTAACGCCACCAGGCGTTTGTGCGGTGGGTGTACCAGACGTAGGCGGCAATGGTGAGCAGGCCAAAGAAGACGCTGAGGAGTTCTTTCCGTTCGGCAACCCAGGCGACCACTTCAACACGCAGGGGATGCAAACCGAACACGGCCGCCGCCAAGGCACTCACCCATTGTCTGCCGGTGGTCCAACGCAACAGTCCGAAGAGCAGACAAACGTTCGCGACGTGCAGCATCAGATTGGTGACGTGGTGGCCCCGAGGTTCAAGTCCATGGATCTCACAGTCGAGCATGTGCGAGAGCCACGTTGCGGGATGCCAGTTGGCGGCCCGATTGGTTTCCAAGGCCCAGAGCACGCCATCGGTCGTGACGCCTTGTCGAACGACTGGGTTGGCCGTCACATAGACGTCATCGTCGTACAGCAGGAATCTGTGCCCTCGTGTGCCTGAGAATACGGCTGCCACAACGATGCTTAAAGCGAAAAGCAGAACGACATCCCAGCGATCGAGCGGTTTCCCTAACGATTTTGCAGCGCGAACCGTCGATGGGACGGCTTTCTCGCGGTCTCGAACCATCGGCTCGGTCTTCTGCATCGGGGGCTCGGTGCCAGTTCGGGAGGGAAAAGAGAGTTCAGGACAAGATTGCTGCTTGGGTTGTGCGAGTTCAATCGTTGAGTCTTCTATCGTACCACGGGCCTAAGATTCTTGCTTTTGCTGTATCTGCGTACGGTTGCATGCCTGGATGAGCTGCGCTATGGGCTCTGTCCGTCCGCTGCTTCAGCCTCCTTAAGTCGCTCGCGGGTTTCAGCATCGTTTGGGTTGAGCATTAGAGCCATGCGGAAGTTCTGGGCTGCCAGTTGAGACCGACCCTGCGCAAGCAGGGCGATACCAAGTTGCTTGTAGGCTTCAGCGTAATCGGGCTTCAACTGGATGGCAGTTGCGAACGACGCCTCGGCTTCGGCGAAACGCTGCTGCTTGAGAAGGAGCTTGCCGAGGCCCATGTGGGTGTCGAGCAAAAAGGGATTCCAGGCCAGGGCAGTCTGGTACAGCGAAAGGGCCTCATCAAGCTTTCCAGCTTGCGTTCTGCGAGCGGCAATCTCGAGGAGGCCAACCGCTTCGACTTCAGGCAGTCGTCTTAGTACCTGCTCGTTGAATTCAAGCGTGTACCAGTCGAACTCGTCTGTCGCAGGGATCTTGGTCGCGTCGAACCGATCACAGAAGTCGGCGAGCCAGCGACCATCGCGGGTATGGGGTTCGTGCGGACGGTAGATCAATAGCTGGCTGTTCTCGGCCACATCTAGTCCCAGCACCGGCAGGTAGTTCGCGGCCATCGTCCCCACGCCGGTCATGCGACCGAGGTTGGCGAGAAAGCCATCGCGATCGGTGATACCGACCGACTGCTCGTCGAGCTGTTCCACACCTTCGGCCGGATAGATCAACGTGGTGGTCAGCTCCGGTTGTGATGCGGCAATCTGGCGTAGCGAGTTCAGCATCGCTCGAGAACTCTTATCGGCATACGAGACCGGCGGGCCTTCTCCAAACGTGCGATACCAAAACGGCACCTGCCAGGCGGCGGCGAGGGCGATCGTTGGAACGACCACAACGAAACAGGCAACACGCAGCAGTTTGAAAGCCGAGCCTCGGGAAATCGATGCCGGGGGAAATAACACAGCGGCCAGATACACCAGCAGGAAGGGCAGGATTGGTACGTAGAATCGCGACAGTGAGATCCACAGTCGCCCATCGCGAAGAGCAACTGGCACGGGGTAGGACGCCGACATGTAGGCCAACATCAATAGTGTGAGAACCCCAGTCGAGACGGCCATCACCGCGAAACATCGAGTGGCGGCCTCATAATCAACGGGCAACCCTTCGCGCACGGACTTACGAAAGCTTCCGACCAATTGATAAAGCGCAGTGGCGAGAATAAGACTCGAGATGATCCACAGCGTCACTTCAGTAAACACCCCAGGGAGCGCCAGCATCGACTGTAGCTGTTCGACCATGAGGTCGGCGCCGATGGTGGTCGTGGGGAAGGGATAAATGGAGGTCAACTGATCGGGATAAAAGCCGCGTTGCAGTCCGGGGACTACGGGCAGGTGTAAAAACTGCCCGGTGACGCTGCGCTGAAAGATGAGCACAGCCGCCAACATCAGGGTGACGATAAGAACGTGGACCCCCACGCCAACTATCATTCGCTGCGAAGGGCGGCGAGCTTGTGAGAACCACAGCGAAAGTGGAATCACCGCCAGCAGAGGCCAGTAGGCCAATCGCAGGGCGCTGACCGCACCTATGAGAATTCCTGAAGCCACCCCAAAGCGGATCGGGTGGGGTTGCCGACTCGCAAAGCGAAGTGTGAGTGCCAAGGCGGCTGAGAACAAAGCCACGGTCATCAGCTCTGGAGAAGAGAGCTGCATCAATGGGCTCCAGATTATCGCCCACATGATCCAGATGAAGATCTTTGCCGCGCGACTGATGGTCGGCCCCAGTCCATTCACAATGGCGAACCAAGCACCGTAGAAGATGATGGTTGCCACGATGTCGAGTAGGACGGTGGCCAACCAGATATCTTTGGTGGCCCACAACAGGGGCAGCAGCAGGAGCGTATATCCCGGCGGTCGAGCAATCAGCGGGCTGTGGATCGGCTCGGCGAGTTGATTGGGGTTGGCCACCACATATGTGTAACCGCCGTCTTCAAGCAGTGAGACCGCCGCCCCGACCATCTCCGATTTGTCATGATTCAGTACGGCCACCTTCCACACGTACAAGCCGTGGTGCGCAATTGCCACCAATAGCAGCAGGATGAAGATTGTCTTCCACTTGCGATCAGCCACGTGTGTTGACCCCCGACGTTCGGTTGAATGACAAGGGGGTACTTGTGATTGCGGAAAGCCTTCGTTGAGGAGCCGAGAATGTCTCAACAGCCTGGCTGTTCATCTGCCGCAGTAGTTCTTGCGCGGCTTGATGGTCCGGATCCAGCTCGATAGCCTTCTCAACTTCCGCGCGGGCCTGGTCGTTCTTATTGCGAGCGAAAAGAACCCTCGCCAATTGGCAGCGGAAGTCGGCCGAGTCGGGGCGAAGCGCGACTAGAGCCGCAAATTGTTCCTGGGCTTCATCAAGCCGCCCGAGTTGCATGGCTAGCGCGCCCAGAGTGTTTCGACTTTCGACATTGCCCGGCTGCAACTCAACTGACTGCCGTAAGTGGGAAAGAGCCGATTCGGTTTCTCCCAGTTCGATGAGTGCCAGGCCGTGATAGAGGTGAGCATCCGCACCTTCGGGATTAGTTTCTTCCAGATCGGATAACAACTCTGCCGTGGTGCTGAATTCGCCCTGGAGATAGGCCGTTTTCGCAGCGAGTACGGTCGCTGTTCCATTCTCGGGCCACAGCTCACGGGCTTCTGTTAGTACGGTGGCGGCTTCCTCATAACGTTGCTGGGTGATGAGCCAGTTGCCCCGCACTTGGAGCACGCGGCTTCGTAGCGGTGTCCACGCAAGGAATATGCCCACAGCCACGAGTATCGCCAGCCCCAGCAACACCCGAGGGGCACCGAGGCGTGCGAGTAACCGATCGACGAAATCGGCCGGAACTGCGCTGGCAGCAACGCGGCTTTGGCTCTTGTCGCGACCGACATTTCGCAACCAGCGATTGGAGGGACGTTCAACCAGCTTGTAGAGCCCGATCGAAATCACATTCAGACCAAGGAATAAGATCCATAACTGATCGCTGACAATCGCCTGAAACAAGTCTGCGGTCGCCCCCAGGTGGATGAGATAGAACGAGTACGAACTGCTTCCAAGTAACACCAGCAATGGAGTGGAGAGGAGCACCCGCAGTAGGCTGCGTTCGGTTAGCAGTCCCCAGAACGCCCAGGCGATCATTGCCGGGAGAATCACAAGGTGAATAGCGAGCTTCAACGGACCACTCGTAACACCCATCGCCAGCACGGAAGCCGCGGTGGCCAGAACTCCGGAATAGGTAACCCAGGCGAGTACCTTGCGCCGCTGCATATTCTTCGCTCGCATGAAGTGCTTTGCGATGAAGCTGCCGGCGGCGAAGGCGAAGATGGCACCCAGTAGGGTTCGCAGCAACGTGAAGGGCGTGCCGAGTTGGTAATCGATCGCAATGCCAATCGCTGGCAGCACAATGCAGGGGGCGAGCAATGTCCAACGTCGGGCGAAAAAGAACAACAACGGTGCCGTGAAGTAGAACGTTTCTTCTACTGTCAACGTCCAAGCTTGTGCGATGCCCGAGGCAGCATACTGCGGGAAGAACCCCTGAGTAAGCGTCAACTGAATGGCGGCCAGCCCAGGAGGTGGGAACTCGTAAACGAGGTACGTGATCAACAGCAGCAGGTAGTACACCGGATAGATTCGGGCGATGCGGTTTCTTGCATACTGCCCCATGTGCCCCAGCGACCATTGCTCGAAATCGGTTGAATAGCGGTAGTAGATGAGAAACCCACTGAGGACATAAAAGATCCACACCCCAATGTGAAGCTCTTCAATGAACCGTGCCGGCCAGCCGTGCCAGAGTGCCGCCGAGACGGGCTTGTAGTGATGCAGGAACACGCAGTAAGCCGCGATGGCGCGTAAACCGGTGAATTGTGGCAGATACGCGTCCGGTCGAGACATCGGCTTCTAGGGCTGGCGTTCAATGGGCTGAAGGGCAGGTTACTGCGGGCGGCGATTGGAACGATCGCCGCGTCGACCAACTTCGATTCTAGAGTGCCTGCTGGTGGCAAGATATGCCATGGGGCACAGCCAACGCGGAGCGTTTTCCGTCTTACCATTAAACACCCTATAATCCGCACAACCCATTCGAGAAATCTCATGGAGTGAAACGATGGCCTTAGAAGTTGAGATCCCATTCGGCGACGGGACCATCACGGCCGAGTTGCCACAGCGGTCGGTGATTCTGGCAGGCGAAGCTAAGTCGTCATTGCCTGTGGTCGACGACTTGGAAGCGGAAGTGCGCGATGCGCTGGATTCGCCCTTGGGGTCGCCTCGGGTGGAAGACCTCGTCAAGCCGGGTGCACGCGTGGTGATCGCCTTCGACGACCCCACGGTGATGGCCTTCGGTCCGATTCGACGGATCGCGATTGAGGAGTTGTTGAGACGTTTGGAGTCGGTCGGCGTCGATCGGGGCGATGTGAAGCTGATCTGCGCGAATGCCTTACACCGCAAGTCTCGCCCCAGCGAGTTGGCCACCATGCTGGGTGAAGATCTCGTGCAGGAGTTCGGCGAGCGCCTCTTCTGCCACGACGCGGAAGACCCAAGCCAGCTTGTGCACTTGGGCCAGACGCCCGAGGGCTACGATGTCGAACTCAGCCGGCACGCGGTCGAGGCAGATCTAACGATCTACATCAATGCCGCCTACAACCGGGGTTTCTGCGGTGGGTGGAAGAGTGTCTGTGTGGGGCTCTCAACTTACCGCTCGATTCGACACCATCACACACCCGACGGCATGTCGATGTCGATTCATGAGAATCGCATGCACGACGTGCTGGAGTCGATGGGTCGCGTGGTAGAAGCCAAAGTGCCGGGCAAGATGTTCAAGATCGAGACGTTGTCGGCCAATCCGTTTCAGGTGTCAGGGGTTTTCGCCGGCAGTACGTGGGACACGCGACAGGCTTGCCTGGAAGTGATGGGCCAGCACTATCAATCGCGCCGCAGCCTGAGCGACGAGAAGTACGACGTGATTGTGTATGGGGTGCCAAACTGGAGCCCCTACGCGATTGGGGCTTCGATGAACCCGTTGCTGACGCTCGTTTCCTCCGGGCTGGGCTACCTGGGCGGTACGGTCCAGGCTTTGGGGGCCCCCGGCTGCACGGTTGTGATGGTCACCCCATGTCCAGACCAGTGGGATCGCGTGCATCATGCCCCATACCCTGTGGTGTGGGAGAATGTGTTGAGCGAAACCCATGATGCTTACGAGATCGACCGCCGCTACTCGGAGCAGTACGCAACGGATGGTCCGTTAATCGAGAAGTACCGCCACGAATACGCCTTTCATCCCATCCACGCCATTTTGGCCACTCACCCATTGAAGCGGATGAAGCACATCGGCCAAGTGCTAGTGGCCGGGGCCGAATCGCCCGAGGTTGTACGGCATATCGGGTTCAGTCCCATGCCCACCGTGGAAGAAGCCGTCGCCGAAGCGGAGCGGCGTCACGGGCACGACTGCCGGATTGCATACGTTCCGCAACCGACCGTGCCGACGAAGTTGTTGATGTAAGTGTGAGGGTTCGAGGGAACTCCTGACAATCTGCAATTGACAATCTGACCTAGATTTGTGCTACTGCCGCGAGAACTTGTTGGCTCTAGCCGGAAATTGGGAATGGTTCGCAAGAAGGCCAAAGCGAAACGAGAGAAAGACCTCGTCCCGGGTGTGACGATCAAAGGGGCTTTGCGGATTTACCTGTTGGCGACTGTCATCGGGGTTCTGGTCGGAACTTTGGGGGCAGCGTTTCGGTACAGTCTCGAATGGGCCCTGGCCAAACATTCTTACATAGCATCGCAAATTTCTTCCACTTTTTTATCCACGTTTGTGTCAGCCCTAATTGGGGCCGCCATGGTGGCGGTGGCCTTTCTGTTGGTTCGCCGTTTTGCCCCAGAAGCCGCGGGAAGTGGAATTCAGGAAGTGGAAGGTGCCCTGGGGGGGCTGCGAGACATTCGCTGGCAAAGGGTGATCCCCGTCAAGTTTGTCAGCGGCGTTCTTGCGATTGGTTCCGGACTGGTGCTGGGCCGCGAGGGGCCAACCATTCATATCGGTGGCTGCGTCTCACGCATGGTTGGCGAGAAGGTGAAGGCCACGAGTGAGACCATGAACACGCTTGTGGCCGCCGGAGCGGCCGCGGGACTGAGCGCCGCGTTCAGTGCTCCCTTGGCGGGCGTGTTCTTTGTAACCGAAGAGATGCAGAGTCGGTTCAAATACACTTTTGTTTCTTTGCATGCCATCGTCATCGCCAGCGTAACCTCGAACCTGGCGATCGAAGAAGTGTTTGGGATGGGCCCGGCGTTGCCGATCCGTCTCGATGTGGTGTTACCTGAAGGGGCGTTTCCTATCAGCACGCTTGCCAGCGTTCCTTCGAACCTGATCCTTGGCGTGATCATGGGAATCTGCGGCGTGGGGTTCAATGCCGTTCTGTTGACCTGGCTTCGTGTTACCGATCGCTTGTCTCCGCGAACCATGCTGCTGGCAGCCTCGGGCTTTGGCGCATTGGCTGGTGCGCTGCTGATGACCTGGCCCAACTACGTGCGAGGGGGCGAGGTGATGGTGCAGGAAGTCTTCATGAGTCCGCCGGCGCTCGGGTTGTTGCTGATATTAATCGCGATTCGCGTTCCAATGACGTTCATCAGCTACTCGGCCGGAGTGCCTGGCGGTATCTTCGCCCCGATGTTGGCTCTCGGAACACTCATTGGGTTCACTTTCGGACATTTCACCGGAGAACTCATTCCCTACAACGAACTGAATCCCGGCGCCTTCGCGGTGGCGGCCATGGGCGGACTGTTCGCCGCAACCGTTCGCGCCCCACTGACCGGCATTGTGCTGGTGGCGGAACTCACCTCCAGTTTCGAACTGCTGCCGGCGATGATCATCACCTGCGTCACCGCCAGCATCACCGCCCAATGGCTCGGCAGTAAACCGATTTACGAAAGCCTACTGGCCAGAACGCTGGAGAATGAAGGCCAGCGGGTCGAAGAATAAAGGGCAAACTCGCCCGGCCTTTTACGGCCTTTCTCGCTCTGCTGCTCCGCCCTTGCCGCACTGGTCTTTGCGCCTGACAATGGACTTGAGCGTTGGCGTTTTAGCACCTTGGTTAGGAATGGATCATCGATGGTAAAGGTAATCGCGGGTTGGGGCTTCTGGGGCGTGGTGTTGGCGATCAGCTTTGCGTGTTCGCATTCGGTGGCACAGGAGGCCTCCTCGGATGCGGCCGTCGAGCCTCCGCTTGAGTTTGTGCTGAACGTAGGTGGCAAGGATATGCCCGTTCGTCTAGACGAGCCGTTCGAACTCGAGGGCGGAGATGGAAAGCAGGTGCTGACGCTTTCCGTCGGCGATACACGGCTGTTCGACAAATCGGGGATCAAGTTTCGCTACCCACGGCATTTTGCTTTTGAAGCCGATCTGGAAGATCCCACGTTCCAGGGTTGGACTCTCGATGGAAACAGCACTGTCATGATGTTGTTTCTCGCTCCCGACACTGACGACGCAGCGACCATGCGCGACGAGTTCGTCGAAACCATGGTGGAACAGTTCGGCGAGGACCAAACCTCGGTGAGCAATACCTCCGTCTTGCTGGAAGGTGAAGTGGTTAACGGCCGACGCATCGAGGCCCTGATCGCCGATGTCACGCTTCGTCAGGATATTCTCGGGCTAGTCACTCCAGAAGGAGCGCTAATCCTGGTCATTCAAGATACGCTGGACGATGACGGTTCATCCACCGTAGAGACCACCGGCGCGATTGAGTTGCTTGAAGAGACGTTTAAGGTGGAGAATACAAAGTCTCAGTAATCGGTAGCCGAAGACGCTCGCAGCACCGAGGTCACGTGATGCAGTACCAGCACGAGCAGAGATCAATCCATCATCGTCGGGCTTTCCTCGGGCGGGCCTCGCTGGGGCTGGGCTCATTGGCGCTCTCGTCGCTGCTCGGTCCTGCTGCCGTGGCTGAAGATGGCGGAACGACCCGCGATGCGATTTCTGGTTCGCCGGGGGTGGTTGATCCGTTGCACTTCGCCCCGCGGGCGAAACGGGTGATCTTCTTGTGCATGTCGGGAGGTCCCTCGCATCTCGAAACGTTCGACTTCAAGCCAACGCTCGAAAAGATGAACGGTCAGCCGATGCCCGAGTCGTTCACCTCGGGCCAGCCGATTGCGCAGTTGCAGGGGCAGGCTCTCTCGTGTTTGGGGCCGATGTTCAAATTCAACCGGCACGGTAAATCGGGGCAACAGATCAGCGATGCCCTGCCGCATATCGCGACCATTGCCGACGACATCGCGATCGTGCGGTCGATGGTTACTGAAGCCATCAACCACGACCCGGCGCATACGTTCATGAACACCGGTTCGACCATCCCAGGGCGGCCCAGCATGGGATCGTGGCTCACTTATGGCCTGGGAACCGAGACCGTCGAACTGCCGGGCTTTGTCGTGCTCACCTCGCAAGGGGGCCGCAATCCTCAACCGATCGCTTCACGTCAATGGCACAGCGGGTTTCTACCCGGCCGTTATCAGGGCGTTCCCTTTCACTCGCACGGCGACCCGGTGCACTATGTGGCCAACCCGCCGGGCGTCTCGCGGCGGCAACAGGGCGACTTGGTCGAAACGGTTGAATCGCTCAACCGGTTGGCTGCTCAGCAAGTGGCCGACCCGGAGATTACCACGCGGATTAAGCAGTACGAACTGGCTTTTCAGATGCAGGCCAGTGTACCTCAATTGATGGATCTATCGGATGAGCCGCAGTGGATGCTGGACCGGTACGGCACCAAGGGAGCCGACGGAAGTTTTGCGGCCAACTGCCTGCTGGCCCGACGACTTGCCGAACGAGGCGTGCGGTTCATCCATCTCTATCATCGTGGCTGGGATCATCACAACGATTTGGTGCCGTTCATGCACGAGTGTGCCGGGCATGTGGATCAGGCCACAGCAGCGTTGGTCAACGATCTCAAGCAGCGGGGCATGCTCGACGATACGCTGATTGTCTGGGGCGGGGAGTTCGGCCGCACCCCGATGTCGCAAAGCAACAAAGGCAACAAACCGGGCCGCGATCATCACATCAAGGGGTTCTCGATGTGGCTCGCCGGCGGTGGTATCAAAGGTGGTGTCACGCATGGTGCGACCGACGAACTAGGTTACGCATCTGTTGAAGATGTCGTGCATGTGAACGATCTACATGCCACCATGCTGCACTTGCTGGGGATCGATCATCGCAAGTTGACATATCGGGCACAGGGCCGTGACTATCGACTCACAGACGTGGGCGGCGAAGTAGTGCGACCTTTGATTGCTTGAGCCGGTTGGAATTCTCTCTAGGCAAGGAAGGCTTTCATGACCTCGGGCGACTTTTCGAACCAAGCAGAAGCTTACCGCCGCTCGCGACCGGGCTATCCGCCCGCGCTGGTTGAGCGGCTGATTGCTCGTGCCAATGTTCATCCGACAGACTCCATCGCCGACATTGGGGCCGGCACTGGAATTCTTACTGAGATACTCAGCGGTCGGGGCTTTAAGATCACGGCCGTCGAACCAAACGCGCCGATGCGTAGTGATGTGAAAGCCTTGCCGGATGTCGTCTGGCGAGAGGGGGCTTTCGAGTCGACCGGATTGGATGATTCTTCGCAGCAGTGGGTCGTCGCAGCCCAGGCCTTTCATTGGGCCGACCCGTCGCGAGCGCTTCCTGAGTTGCGGCGTATTCTGGCCCCCGGCGGCAAGTTCACCGCCCTGTGGAACAATCGCCTGAATGATGACGAGCCCGTGGTGAAGTGGACCCGGGATGCCATCTGCCGGCATGTGCCCGACTTCACGCATGCCTATCGCGATCGGGAGTGGGGCGAAGTCATGTTCTCGACGGGCGATTTTTGCGATCCGATCTACGACGAAGAGAACCACACCGTGGCGATGGACCGCGAGCGGTACGTCGACCTGTGGCGAAGCCATCACAGGCTGGCCGAGATTGCCGGCCCTGAACGGCTGAAGGCATTACTCGACGATTTGATCGAGTATCTGCAGCAGAATAAGGTCGAACGGGTGGATGTTCCCTACCGCTGCCGGTCGTGGACCGTCACGCGCGCCTGAAACCGCTTGTGTCGCGGCGTGAATCTGTTCTGATAGGGCATCGTTCAATTCTTCGCGATGTCGCGTCCGTGTCTGGAGTAACCATGGTGTCGTCTGCTGCCAAGAGATTTCTGAGTGCGCTACTACTTGCGGTCCTGTGGGTAAGTGTTTCGCAGGCAATCGCGGAGGCCGAATCGGTAACCGTGTACCGCGATGAGTTCGGGGTACCGCACGTGTATGCCGAGACGCTCGAGGGAGCCGCCTACGCCGTCGGGTACTCGCAAGCAGAAGATCGGCTGGAGCAATTGCTGAAGAACTACCGCCAAGCAGCCGGCACCATGAGCGAGGCTTTTGGCAAAGATCACTTTCGCCACGACTACCGGCAGCGGATGTGGCAGCATGAACGGCTGGCCAGTGAGAAGTTCAGTGAGTTGAACCCCAAAGTGCAGGCGACCTGCAAAGCCTACATCGCGGGCGTAAAGCAGTTCATGAGCGACCACCCGGAGCAGGTTCCAGAGTGGGCCCCCGAACTACACGATTACAACCCGGTGATGCTTTCGCGATACATCATCTGGGGCTGGCCCGAGGGACAAGCGGCCGGCGATCTGCGTCGCGGAGGGTTGCACCCCGATCCGGTGGCCTATCGCGGCTCAAACGAATGGCTCATCTCCGGCGATCGCACCCAAGACGGGGCGGTGATCGCCTGCATCGACCCTCACCTGGGTTGGTATGGCGAATTCCGTTTCTACGAACAACGAATGTACGCCCCCAAAGATGGCTTCGCCTGCTCGGGTGCTTGCATTCTGGGGGTGCCGATGCCCGGGTTGGGGCATAACGAGTACATGTCGATCGCCATGACGACCGGTGGCCCTGATACGGCCGACGTCTATGAGGATACGATCAACCCCGAGAACCCGAAGCAGTACAAAGTCGACGACCAATGGCGCGAAATGAAGACGCTCACCGACACCATCCGCGTAAAGACCGACGAGGGGGTGAAGGAGCAGGAAGTGTCGATCGACTACACGCATCGTGGACCTGTGGTCGCTCGGAAAGACGGCAAGGCCTACACGATGGCCCTGGCGTACTTCGATGAGTTGGGCCTGATGGATGAACTGTTCGCGGTGTTCATGTCGAAGAACCTCGACGAAGTGAAGCAGGCCCTCAGCACCCGGCAGTTGATGCCGCAGAACATCATGATTGGTACGGTCGACGGCGACATCTTCTATGTCCGCACGGGGCGGGTGCCCATCCGTAATCACGACCTGCCGACCGATCGCCCGGTACCGGGGGATACGTCGAAAAACGATTGGGCCGGGAACCATCCTTTCGAAGACCTGGTGCAGATTACGAATCCTCCCCAGGGTTACATGCAGAACTGCAATATCTCGCCGGCGGTGATGATGAAAGATAGCCCCATGATGCCGGAGAAGTACAAGAAGCCCTATCTGTATGAGGCCGATAGGGGGCCAGCCCATCAACGGGCCCAAATGGCGCTGGAAATCCTGGCGGCCAACGATTCTTTCTCGGTCGAAGAGGCCATCGACCTGGCCTTCTGCCCACAGGTGTTAGGGGCCGAGGCCTGGCAGCGACGCATCACCCAAGCCTGGAACGCCGCCGACGCGGATGCCATGACCGACGACACAAAAACGCTTTACGACAACATCCGAGGCTGGAATCGCCGTAGTGATGCTGAGTCGATTGGGGCGCTCTCCTATTACACGTTCAAACGGGCGTTGAAGGATCACTCAGACAGCGTCGAAGTACCGGCCGATCTGAGCGATGAGGCGATTGTCGAAGCACTCCAGACGGCTGCAAAGCAACTGCAAGAGCAGTATGGCCGTTTGAATGTTCGCTACGGCGACCTGTTTCGTGTGGGCCGCGAAGGAAGTGAGAAGTCTTACCCCGTAGGGGGCGGCACGTTGCGTAATGCCGGCATGGCCACGCCTCGGGCGATCAGCTTTGCCAAGCGCGGTGAGGAATACGTCGGCCGCGGAGGGCAGACCTCTACGCAAATTGTCGTACTCACGAAGCCGCCCAAGTCATACATGGTGTTGCCGCTGGGAGAGAGCGACCACCGGGACAGTGGGCATTGGGACGATCAGGCGGAGAAGCTGTTCAGCGTCTCTCGCGTGAAAGATACCTACTTCATGGACCTGGACGGATTGAAGCCGCATGTAACCAGCACGAACACGCTGGATTTCGAGTAAGGTCGAATCGAGCGTATTCGGTTGGGTTGGGCTTCAGTTGCGAAAGCCTTCGTAGTCGCCTGCAGGGCGAAGGGGATTGGCTCCTGCGGGCGGTCGCTTCTTGGCCCCTGCGGTATTGTCGGGAAGTGGCAACAACTTGTTCAACGAGTCGGCGGCAGCATTGGCCGTGTGGGGATCGGCATCGGTGAGCGTGTTGTAAAGTTGCGTCGTCGCACCGTAGGGTTTCGCGCCGATTCTCCCGATCGCTCGCACGATGGCGTATTCGGCTTTGGAGTTGTTACGTTCGCGTTCTGCTTCCAATGCGTCGAGCAGGTCGTTCACCGTGTCTTTCGCCGGAGGGCCAATGAGCCCTAGCGTGGTTGCCGCTCGGGTGCGAACGACTTCGTCGCGATCGCTGAGGGCATCTCCCAAGTCGTCCACTGCCCCTTCGGCTCTTCGCCCGAGAAGTTGGAGAGCCTTGGCTGCGTAGCGGCGAACCACGACGTTGCGATCGCTGAGTGCATCACCGAGCGGTTCGGCAGCCTCGTCGCCTATCTTCAGCAGTGATTGCGTGGCGGTACTGGGGTCTTCCAGGCGGCGGAGTTGCAGCACCCATTCGCTGGTCGACTTGCCCTTGTAGACACGCTCTTCCTTTCCGCAGCCAACTGCACCCAGGCAGATCGCCAGGCAGCAGAATTTGAAAAGAAGAGACGTGGTACGGGCGTTCATGAAACTTGCTTTCGAATTATCGAGGGTGCTCTAGCTCCGACTGCCGCGTGACAATCCTCGACTAATGCAGGGGCTTTTGAACTCTACCTTACGGAATAGAGCTTGAAGAAGTCACAATCCCTGCAACCCTTATGGCCTACCGCCAAACGCTTGACACAGCCCAGCGGTCTGCGACGATCCACTCACGGGAGGACCCGCTTTTTGGGGCCCAAATTGCTCATTCTCAGAAGGATTACTGTCCATGGCGCGCATGGAAAACAAGGTTGTCATCATCACCGGTGGGGCTTCGGGAATCGGCCGAGCGACGTGCGAAGTTTTCGCCGAAGAAGGGGCGCGCGTGATTGTGGTCGATGTTAATGAAGTCGCTGGCGAGGAGACCGTGGAAGCCATAAGTGCATCGGTAGGACAAGCAGCATTTTTGGCTTGCAATATTGCCGACGAAGAGAGCGTTCAGCGGATGGTGGCCGAAGTGGATCAGAAATTCGGCCGCATCGATGTTTTGGTGAATAACGCTGCGGTGTTCGTGTTGAGCGGCATCGAAGCTAGCGTGGCCCAGTGGCGGCAATCGCTCGACACCAACGTGATTGGAACGGCTCTCGTCTCAAAGCATGTGGTGCCGGTGATGCGTCGCAACCCGGGTGGGGCGATTGTCAACCTGGGGTCGATCTCGAGCTTCATCGCCCAGCCGGAGTTTGTCACCTACAACGCTACCAAGGCGGCCATCTCTGAGATGACCCGTTGTATGGCTTTGGATTTGGCCCCCGACAAGATCCGCGTGAACGCGGTGTGCCCGGGAACTGTTTGGTCACCGATTGTCGAAACCCTGACTCGCGAGGCGGGGCTAACTCGCGAGGAGGCCGATACGGCAGAAGGCTGGGGAGGCGACGCGATGCTGCAGCGCCTGGCCGATCCCCGTGAGATTGCGCATGCCATTTTGTTCCTGGCATCGGACGAGGCCTCTTACATTACAGCCGAAAACCTGATGGTCGATGGTGGCTTCACGGCACGGTAATACTCGCTTGTTGGCTCCGCGTGCGATCCAACGACGGAACCCATAGCAGGATTCATTCATGTCCGAAGAGATTTGTTGGCTTTCTGCCATCGAGTTAGCCGGCCGTATCAAGCGGAAGGAAATCTCGCCTGTCGAAGCGGTCGAAGCCGCTTTGGAGCAGCTCGATCGGTGGAACCCTCGCTTGAATGCCGTGGTCACGCGCACCGATGACCTGGCCCGGGCACAAGCTCGAGAGGCCGAAGGGGCCATTTCGCGGGGTGAGGAACTCGGGCCGTTGCACGGGGTTCCCTTGGTGGTGAAAGACCTGCACTACACGGCCGGGGTGCGTACGACTTGTGGATCGGAACTGTACGCCGACTTTGTTCCTGATTTCGATCATCCCATTGTCGAACGGTTAAAGGCAGCCGGCTGCATTATTCTGGGGAAGACGAACACCTCGGAATTCGGGCTGATTCCGCTGGCCTCCAGCGGGCTGTTGGGCGATGCGTGCAACCCTTGGAACCTGAAGCACAACACCGGTGGCTCCAGCGGCGGTTCTGCTTCTTCGGTTGTGACGGGCATCGCACCGTTGGCCACGGCAAGCGATGGGGGAGGTTCGATTCGCATCCCGGCGAGTTTCTGCGGGGCCTTCGGTATCAAGCCGCAACATGGTCGGGTTGGTCACATTCATCAACCGAAGGGTTGGGAATCGCTCTCGCATCAAGGGCCCATCACACGCCACGTGCGCGATGCGGCCAGGATGCTGGATGTGATTGCCGGGCCTCATCCGCTCGACCGCTGGTCGCTACCCAAGGTGGATTATTCCTTCGAAGAAGCGTGCGAGCGTGATGTGCGAGGGTTGCGCTTGGCGTGGTCGCCTGATTTGGGAGGCTATCCGGTCGAGCCCGATGTGCTGGAGGTGTGTCGTGGGGCTGTAGCGAAATTCGCCGAGTTGGGCTGTGAGATCGAAGAGCTTTCTCTCGATCTTCCAGATCTGACTTCGGCGCAGCAAACCATTGTTCTTTGCGAGACGCTGACGGCGATGAGACCGCAACTCGATCGTTGGCAGGAAGTCATCACGCCTTCAATGAAGCGTTTACCGGCCAAGGCTGCTGAGTTCACCGTGGACGACTTGATGAACGCTCACTGGGCGCGAGATCGTTATTGGGAGCAGATCTCACCGGTGTTTGAGCAGTTTGATGCGCTGCTAACCCCGGTGGCTGGCATCACCGCCCCTGAGAACGGCTCACTAGGACCACGAGAAGTTGCCGGCAAGAAGATCCGCGCGCTGGGATGGCTGACCTTCTGCGTGCCGTTCAATATGACGTGGCAACCGGCGGCCAGTTTGCCGGTGGGTTTCGACGGAACGCAGATGCCCGTGGGGTTGCAGGTTGTGGGGAGGCCTTACGACGAAGCCACCGTGTTGCAGCTTTGTGCGAGATACGAAGATGAATTTGGCCCGTTGTGTCAGCGTCCTTCAGTGTCTTCCGGGGACAGTGCTGAGGGCTGATGGGGGCCTTGGGGGGCGCCGCCGTGTTTGGTGCCTCGCCGCGGGTATAGGTCTCGCTCGGGCTTGATCGGAAACGGTGGCAACGCGGCATCAATGCGGCGCAAGTTCTCGGCGATGATGTTGGCGTGGTTGGCCGAATCGATTCGCGGCAACTCGGGCTTCTCTGGTGGGAGATCTTCTCGCGGCGAATCTGACATTGCAGTACCTCTTGAAGCGGTATCGAACACGCTACTCCTGGCAGCCCCTTGGTAGCACCATCGGCGCGCCAGGATAAGCGGCTTCAACCCCGCGCAGACGGTACCGAATTCGCGGGAAATGCGGCTGCAGCGTGCCGGCGAACCGCCAATTCGCCGACACGATGGAGTTTAAGAAATTCAGATTTAGCTGGATCTGACGAATGCGCTACCGCTATTTGCCCTGGAAGTTGGGTTCTCGCTTTTCGATGAATGCCATAACCCCCTCGGGGAAGTCGCCGCATTGCGACAGTTCTTCTTGAAGATCGGCCTCGATGGCGAGGGCGTCTTTCAGGCTGCCCCCATTCATGCTTTGACGGATGGCCTGCTTACTGCGAGCGATCGAGAGCGGGGCCTTCTTTGCCAGCGCGGCGGCGAACTCTTGCACTTTCTCTTCGAAACTGTCGGCCGGATAGACGTGGTTCGCCAATCCCCAGGCAACGGCTTGCTCGGCCGGTACCCGGCATCCGGTGGCGGCCATCTCCAGCGCCCGTCCTAAGCCCACCAACCGGGGCAGGGTGAAGGTCCCACCGCCATCGGGGATGAGTGAGATGTTGACGAAGATCTCCGCAAAGAACGCACGGTCGCTAACCAGTCGCATATCGGCGGCCAGGGAGATATCGCAGCCGATGCCGGCGGCTGCCCCGTCTACTGCTGCGATTACCGGTAGGGGGCTCTCGGCCATGGCCAGAACCAAGGGGTGGTAACAGTTCGTCAGCACATCGCGGACACCAGAGTACTCGTCCATCTGGGTGACGGCTTTCAGGTCCGCCCCCGAACAGAAGGCTCCGCCTTTTCCACCGAGAACAATCACTCGGGCACCCTCTTCAGACGCTTTCTCAATGTGCTCACGCACTGCATCAGCCGAGGAAGGGATCAGCGCGTTACGCACCTCGGGCCGATTGAACCAAATCCACTTCACCTGGTCCTTGATCTCGGAAATCACATTGGATTCGGAAACAGTATTCGACATGGTTTGGTTCCTCAGGTGATTAACGAATCGCTAGATTAAAGACCTGGAAGTCCTAGGGCACCGCTGCCGGACTTGAGTTGCTCGAGAATGGCATCCTGCATGATCGGGAGAGCGACTGCAAAGATTTTAATGATCCCTTCCTTGGATTCTCCGTGAAGAAGAAGTCCGTCGGAGGTCGGGCTCAGTGTCATTTTCATATGCGAATCGACCGTGGCCATTTGCAGTTGAAGAACGCCCATGATGAGCTTCAGTTCTTGGCTTTCGCCGGCCGCTTCAGACAAAATTCCGAAGAAGGCTTTCAGTTCGATGACGAATTCCATCGGCGGGACGGTCTTCTCTTCGATCTGCATAGCGGCCTTCAACTGTTCGAGCCCATCGGGGCCAAACGCGAAGAAGAACGCATCGTCTCCAACAGCCACGTGCATCTCTCGCGACTTGCCGAAGAGTGGTTCCAATAAGCCTGCGCCTGTGGATTCTCCTTCACTCACAGCACCGGCGAACTTGAAGGCGTGAATCGCCACGCCGTCTTGCTCTGCAACTTCGAGGGTCACCGATTCGAAACCGGGGTCGCCGTCTGCAAGCTCGCCGATTCGGCGGATCATGGCGTCGACGGGTTCCCGGTCGGCGATCTTCGTTCCACCCACCATGGTGAACTTGGGGGCAGATCCGGTCATTCGCATGGCCATGTCGATGCTACCAGTCTCGATCGAAGCAGAGGCAATCTCGGTGAAGTTGGTGAGCAGCTCACCGAAGATTTCTCGCTCACGGTCGTTGGCCACTTGCTCGTTTGCTTCAATGGCCGCGATGACTTGCTGCTGATAGTCGGCAATGGTCTCGCTCGCCAAGTCTTGCATACCTGGGGTCATCTCGTCGATCGTGAAGTGCATCATCACGGCCGAGTCATCGTTGATCAAGCTCCCGAAGCGGGTGGTGGACTCGGGTAAGGCTGCAAATTCCTTTGCCGCGCCGCTGTCTTCAACCGGAACTACTTCCACGTCGAATGTCAGGTCCCGGGTGTCTTCATTGATCGACCCACCGATAGTTACCTGATCGAGTTCGGTCAGCATGATGCTCAACGCCTCACCTGGATCGTCGCCCAGCATGGCCGTGATATTCTCGAGGCCATCAATCGGCGAGAGATCTCCCAAACGGTCGGAGGAGTCGAGAATCATGTCTCGCAGGAATGCCGGGACTTCTTGGAAATCGATACGCATGCCAACGTCGTACTTGGCGGGTAAGTCACCGAGAATTTCATCGGGGTTAGGGAGGTCCTTCAAGTTGTGGGGGCCTTGGCCGAAGTAACCCCAGTCGCCCTCGACCTTGATGTAGAAAGTCTCGGTGTCGGTGAGATTCATTTCGTAGAGACCGTCTTCCGTCTCTCGAACGCGATCGCCGTTGTACTGCTTGGCGTACTCGATAAAGGCTTCCAAATCAGTGATTGGCAGGAAGCCGAGCGGGACGATGTTTACCTCGTCGGTCAGCACGGTGAAGCCCCAGGGGCGTTCGGAGTCGACTCCAGGCAGCTCGCGAATATTCAAATCCTCGATTTCGAGCAGCTTACCCAGGAAGGGATTCACGAAAACGTTAACAAATCTTTTGCCGTTAGACTCGCGAGTCTGCTCGTTGATGGCAGTCGTGGAGCCAACGAACTCTAAGTCGGAGAGAAGGTTTTGATGGCCTTTCAGGGAGACGACGAGAATAGGCTTGGTTTCATCGGCCAGAGTCGTGCCCGCGATAGTCAGAGATGTGATCGCGGCAAGGATGTAGTGCAACACTCGGTTCACGTTCAATTTCTCCCAAGCAACTGAAAACTCGCCACCAAAAAGCATTCTTGGAGGCACAAAACAGCGATGCTCTCGGCTCACTTGTCAGAGGGGGGACCTCTTGTCGTGGAGCCAGCCCACCTAGCAACCCCGTTGGGCGTTCATCAGCCAAGACGGGGGCAAAACATCGCTTGAGGGTAGCAACTCGACGCGGTCAAAACCAGTGCCGAGACCTTCTGAGGCTTGGACCAGAGGCCAAGAACTGGCCAGAGCGTGGCAATTTTCGTGGTTCACGCCGTGGGGGGCGTCTGAGGACCTTCGTCCTGCAGCGTTGGACGGGCCAGGTGCTGATCGGTTTCCTCCGCGAAATGACAACTTACCAGCGAGGGTGCCTCATCGCCGACGATGCGAAGCTGCGGGGCTTTTTCCCGGCAATCCGCCGGCTTGCCCTTCACGGCGTACAGTGGGCAGCGGGGATGAAAAGCACACCCAGGCGGTACATTGATCGGTGAAGGGATTTCGTCGTCGAGCGCGACCACGCGCTCGTACACTCGCGACGGGTCTGGGACAGGGATAGCTGAGAGCAGCACCCGGGTGTACGGATGCCGGGGGTGGCGAAACAAAGTTTCTGTCGGTGCCTGCTCGACGATCTTCCCCAGATACATGACCGCTACTTCGTGACTGATATGCCGCACCACGGCCAGATCGTGGCTGATCATCAGGTAGCTGATTTGGTTGTTCAGTTGCAACTCGTCCAACAGGTTAATCACCTGGGCGCGGATAGATACGTCCAGAGCACTGGTGGGTTCGTCGCATACGATGAGATCTGGTTCAAGGGCCAACGCCCGCGCGACGCCGATCCGCTGCCGCTGCCCGCCGGAGAATTCGTGTGGGTAACGGCTGGCGATCTCGCGAGCGAAGCCGACCTTTTCAATAAGTTGCCCCACGCGCTCACGTAATTCTGCACCCCGGGCCAGGCCGTGCACTCGTAAGGGTTCGCCGATGATCGACCCTACGGTCATCCGCGGATTGAGTGATGCGTAGGGGTCTTGAAAGATGATTTGCATGTCGCGCCGCAAATCTCTCATTTCTTTTCGCGGCAGCTCGAAGACATCTTGGCCATTGAACAGGACCCGACCGTCGGTGGGAGGGATGAGCCGCAGGAGGGTTCGCCCCACGGTCGTCTTGCCGCACCCGCTTTCGCCAACAAGTCCCAACGTGCGCCCACGGCCTAAGGTGAAGCTGACGCCATCGACGGCCCGCACTTCCTCTTGAACCCGCGAAAGCACACCTCCACGGATGGGGAAGTACTTCTTCAGGTTTTCGACTTCCAGCAGCGGTTTTATGTCTGTTGGTGTGGGAGTCGGTGTTTCGATGGTCGATTGCGCGTTCACGGTTCCTCCCGCGATGCCGGCGTTTGGCTGGGGGCGATTGAAGTGCTTCGGCTTAAAGTGTCGCTGGCCATTTCGTTGGCATACCAGCAAGCAGAAGTGTGGCCCGGGACGACTTCGATGTAAGGAGGGTCCTCGTTGCACTTCTCGGTTGCCGCATAGCAGCGGTCCTTGAAGCGGCAGCCTGTGGGGAAGTTGGTCGGCGGCGGCACGCTGCCATCAATCGCCTCGAGCGCTTCCGACTCGTGGTCAACCCGGGGCAAACTGCGAAACAATCCCTTGGTGTAAGGATGGGCTGGTCGGGCGAATAGTTCCTTGGCGTTGGCTTTTTCTACGACCCGGCCGGCGTACATCACCACCACGTCATTCGCCATCTCGGCCACGACGCCCAAGTCGTGCGTGATCAGCAGCACGGCCATGCCATGATTGGCTTGGGTTGATCGAAGCAGTTCGAGAATTCGTGCCTGGATCGTGACATCGAGCGCCGTGGTTGGCTCGTCGGCGATCAACAGGCGGGGATTGCACGAGAGTGCCATGGCAATCATGGCTCGCTGCTTCATCCCACCAGATAACTCATGCGGATATTGATTGATCCGCCGCTCGGGTTCGCTCATGCGAACCTCTCTCAACACGCGAAGCACTTCGCTACGGGCCTCGGCTTTCGACATCTTGCGATGCAGCAAGATGGCCTCGGTGATTTGATCTCCGATGGTGAACACCGGGTTCAGGCTGGTGCCGGGCTCTTGAAAGATCATGGCGATGTCGCCACCGCGGATGGCGTGCAACTCGCGGGAAGGCAGATCGATAAGGTTTCGCCCGTCGAACACAATTTTGCCCCCGGCAAATTCTCCCGGTGGCATCGACAGCAGACGGAGGATGCTGAGCGCCGTGACCGTCTTGCCGCAGCCGCTTTCGCCAACCACGGCTAAGGTACGGCCGGCATCGAGGGAAAAGCTTACTCCATCAACCGCACGGGCCAGGCCTTCGTCGGTGCGGAAGTAAGTCTTGAGATCAACGACCTCCAGCAGGGGACGCTGATCGGAGGCGGGTGCTGGCGAGTTCGTGTTTTCCTGCTGCACGGTGAGCCGCTCCCTCTGTCCCGTTGGCATTTCAGCCGGAGGCCCGGCACAGCTGATTGCGTATCTGGTCTGGCTGATCGCCCTAAGTGTAATTCATGTCTAGGGATAGAATCATATAGGTGCCCGCAGCGGGGGTCAATCGCGGATGAGGCCCACTGAACGGCGTCGAATGGGCAAGATGCGCTAGGAGTAATGATTATTCCTAATCTTCTGATTGGGTATTTGCCGATCACACAGACCAGGACGTGATTCTTTACGTCCCGCGTGTGGAAATGGATCAGCAACCTAGGGAACTTGGCGATGCCCCGGACGCATCGAGCTTACTGGTCGGTGATTGCGACCTTGAGCCTACTGATCTTCGCACCCGGCTGTAAGCGGGGAATTATCGTGCGAGGAGATGTGGGGCTCGAACTGAATCATGCGCCCCCGGTATGCGGTGGAGGCTGCGGACCTCACGGCTGTGCATCGCACGGTGGGGGACACGGTCATGGGCACGGTGGCGGCTTCCCCGGAATGCCGGGCTTTGCCAAAGGCCCAACTTGGCCGGCCGAGCCTTACCGCCATCCTCGCTTCCACGCACTGCCGCTGGGTCCAATTTTCGATCCGCGTATCGAGCCCGCCGCTTTCTACGATCAAGCGCCAGCGCCGGCTGCTCAACGGGCCCAGGAGCCTTATTGGGAGCCGCACGTGGTTCCTCCCCCGACTCCACAGAAAGAAATGTGGATCGATCCTCCGAACGATGGCAACTACGAGTTGCCTGTGCCGGATATGACCTCCACCGAGGACGGAGGCGAGTACGCCGAGGAAGAGCAAGGACCGGAATTCCAGCATTCGGGCTACGAGGAAATGCCACCGGCTGCAACGCAGCAACGTGTGGCGAATTCAGACGGCTGGACTCGACCCCGGATGCATTCGCAGCGTTCGCCGTACCCACCCCGAAGATTGCAGCGGCCACCGCAACAGTATCCTCCCAGCTACCCGCCTTCTACCCGCTATCGCTAGTGGTGCAGTCGCGGCGAAGCCAGCGGGCTGCTCGGCCCACCGGGTTTCATCCTGGGGCAAGTCTGCCGGTTAGCTAGGCGTCAAAGTCACGCTAAGCCGCAACCAACGGCGATCTGACCTCGTCCCCGAGGTCAAGCTGGGAACTCTATGACGGCTGCCTGGGCTGTCTCTAACGCGGCTTGCGATGATGGGCCGATCTACTGTGCGTGCAAGTTCGTTCTGTGCCACGTCTTGATCACGTCGGTGCAGAGGACTCCCGCCCCCTCCTTATCCCACCGCTGCGCCTCTGCCGTGAAGATGACCCCAGCTGATTGCCGCACATCATCTATGGTTAAAACTGCATGCTCCATTGCGATTTTCAGCGGGCTGTTGCTCGGAATCGCACTGCCTGTCAACGGATCGGAGCTTCGCAAAACCGCCATCGTTACGGCCGTTCAGTCGGCCCGATCGTCGGTTGTGAACATCCGTGGTGAAAAGACCGTTCATGCCGAGGGAATCGGCCAGGCGGTGGAAGCCGACCGCCGTGTGAACGGGATGGGTACCGGGGTGGTTATCGACCGCCGTGGGTACATCATTACGAATCACCACGTCGTCGACGGCGTGCATGAAATCCAGGTCACGCTCGATAGCGGGGCCCAGTACACCGCACAGTTGATCTCGTTCGATGCCTCGACCGACTTGGCGGTCATCAAGATCGACGTCGCTCGGGCCCTGCCGGTGATCACCGTTGGAACTTCTTCGGATTTGATGCCTGGCGAAACCGTCATCGCTGTCGGGAATGCTTACGGTTACGAACACACGGTAACCCGCGGCATTCTCAGTGCACTGAAACGCACGGTGCAGGTGGGGGAAGGCCAACAGTACGACGACCTTCTGCAGACCGATGCCAGCATTAATCCCGGTAACTCGGGCGGACCGCTCCTGAATATCGATGGCGAAATGATCGGTATCAATGTGGCCGTGCGAGCCGGGGCGCAAGGCATCGGGTTTGCAATTCCGGTTGATAAAGCAATGCGGGTGGTCGCTGAGTTGATGAGCACCCGTCAAGTGAATAAGACGTGGCACGGTGTGGTTGGAGTGGACGAATACAGCCCTTCACAGCAAGGGTTGGCCATCAAAGTCTGCGAGCAGGGCAGTCCTGCCAATCAGGCGTCACTACAGAAGGGCGATATCATCGTCCGCGTCGATGGTGAGGAGATTACCCGACAGCTAGACTTCGAACTGGCTTTGCTTGCGGCAGAGTCGGGTGAGGAAGTGAAACTGAAGGTGCGTCGCGGGGGTGAGCAGATCGAAATCCCCCTGGTCGTTCGCGCCGTGCCAAAAGACCAGGTCGAGGGCGACGATCCCATCTGGAACACGCTGGGAATGGAACTAACTTCCATCAGTCCCAACGATTTCCGCCAATACCGCTCGGGTTACCGTGGAGGCCTTTCGGTGGCTGCGGTCCGGCCGAACAGCCCGGCCTCTCGACAGGGGATCCGCCGCGGCGACGTCCTGGTGGGCATGCACGTGTGGGAAACAGTCACTCTCGACAATGTGAGCTGGGTGCTGAGTCGCCCTGACTTCGACCAACTCGATCCGCTGAAGTTCTACATTCTGCGAGGCCGCGAAACCCTCTACGGTCATATGACCGTGTCCCTCTCAAACGAACGCGGACAAACCAGAGCTAGCCGCTAGTTTAGGGGCAGCACTTCTAAGGGTGATTGCCGCGAGAATTTGCTCGCCCGCAGTTGGCGATTCTCTTGTATTCGCGATTGCCAACATGCCATCGGAAGAGCGTTCTTCAGTCGTGGGCGATTGCAGACGGCACCGATTCCCAATCATAATCAGGCGTGCGGCTGTGATTTTTGGGCTGGTGCTGTGTCGGGCGAGGTTGTCTTGCAATCTGAGTTGGAATTCATCGAGTGGCTTCGTGAACACGTCCCGTCGCACTCTCGTTGCGACCTGCCCTTGGGCGACGACTGTGCACTGGTCTCTGTGAAGGACTCCACCGTGGTGACAACCGACATGTTGGTCGATGGGGTTCACTTCGTCGCAGCCGAGGTTTCTGCCCAGCGAATTGGTCGTAAGTTGCTGGCGGTGAACCTGAGCGATCTGGCGGCCATGGCGGCCACCCCAATTGCCGCGGTTGTTTCAATCGCCCTCCCGCGCCAGGGTGGCTATCAACTGGCGCTTGAACTCTACGAAGGGCTTCTTCCGCTAGCCAAGCAGTACGATGTGGCCATCGCTGGAGGAGATACTAATGTGTGGGACGGCCCTCTCGTGGCGAGCATCACTCTTTTCGGCGATCCGCATCCTAGGGGCTCGCTCCGCCGAGATGCGGCTAAGCCTGGCGATGCGATCGTCGTGACTGGGCAGTTGGGCGGCAGCTTGCTGGGGCGGCATTTCGATTTCGAACCGCGCGTGAAGGAAGCTGCACTGTTGCGTGACAAATACGACCTGCATGCCGGGATGGATATCACCGACGGGTTGGCGATTGATCTATCGAGAATCATCGCAGCCAGCGGTTGCGGGGCGATTATCGACGTTAACTCGGTGCTCATCGCCGAGGCGGCCCAAGAGCTTGCCCGGCGTGCTAGTGACGAGCAAAGCGGATTGCAACACGCGCTTCACGATGGGGAAGACTTCGAACTCTTGTTGACGCTTTCGCCCGAAGAGGCACAACGCATGGCGACCGATCAGCCTCTGGAGATTCCCATCACCATCGTGGGTGAAGTCACCCGCGACGGCGGGTTGCAACAAAGGGACGGTCAGGGGGTGGTTACGCCCTTGCCCGCGCTAGGTTACCAACATCGAACCTCACCATGACGACTCCCACATTTGCTTTCGAAGCCGTAGATGAATCGGCCACCGAACAGTTCGCGGGGGTGCTTGCCCGAGTGTTGCCCGACGGGTGTGTGATCGCCTTGCGCGGAACGCTCGGAGCGGGAAAAACTCGTCTGGTTCGCGCACTTGCGGCCGCCTGTGGAGTCCCTGCTTCGACTGTGACTAGCCCCACCTTCACGCTAGTGCATGAGTACCAAGGTGAACGGAGCTTCTTTCACCTGGACGCCTACCGCATCGAAAGCGAACCTGAGTTTCTAGAGCTTGGGGTTGAGGAGTTCTTCGATTCGTCGGCCATTACCATCATCGAGTGGGCAGACCGCGTGCCAGGCTGTCTTCCAGACGCCTATCTCGACATTGAGATCGAAGTCACCGGCCCCGACTCCCGGCGGTTTCATGTCAGTGCGGTCGGGTCTGGGCTTGGGGGGATAGTCCAGCAACTCGCTGTTGAACTGCCCGGGTAATCTTCCCCGATGCGAGTCCTCGTTTGAGGGGGTGCGAAACGGGGTAAAATGCGCCGAAACTTCGGGATTTAACGCATGACCCGCTCTTGCCGGGGGTGCAGTCCTCTCAGGCAGGGCTTCATGCAGTCTTTATGCTTGCTGGCAACGCAAACTAAGGGTTTACTGAGGGGATATCGTTTTGCCACCGCAGAAGAGGCGTTCTAGCTGTGTCTCCTTCTGGCACAGCTATGTGGGATCTCGTCGCACGACGCGGACGAGGACAGCGCGAGTGCAGAACGGTTACGGGACCCCGGCGAGCCACTTCGGTCCTCGCCGCTGATGCGATATCCACTTGCAACCAGGATCGGCATCTCTTGAGCATCTCATCGCCACACCAATCGACAGCTCGTTCCGTCTCTCATAAGAAGAACCCCGCTGGTCAGAAGACTCCGATTGAAGTTCTCGAGAGTCGGTGTGTGTTGGCGGCGCCACAATTGCTTGTTGCGTTCGACCAAGCAATTCAACTGCGCGCGGGGACCGCGCTGCACATTCCTCTGAACGCCATCGACCCGGAAGGTGACGCGATCACTTTTTCGGCGAGCGTCGACAACGCTGCCTTCGAGGCAGTTACACCTCAGGGTAACCGGAGTGTCATCTTCAGGCTGTCGCACGAGTCGAGCGGGCAACAGGGCGACGTCACGTTCACCGACGAGATCATGACCGTGGAGTTGCTCGAGGACATCGCTCCCGAGACTGCCGGGCGTTTTGCAGGACTAGTCGATGCGGATGCTTACGACGGTCTGACTTTTCATCGATTGGTAAGCAATTTTGCCGCCCAGTTCGGTGATCCCGACGGCGTGGGCACCGGTGGATCGGGCGTAACGATCGACGACGAGTTTTCGAAATACAGTCGTCACACGACGCCGTTTTTGTTATCCACTGCGAAGAGCCTCGACGATACCTTCGACATGCAGGCGTTTCTCACACAAGGTGGCGCGAACAGCACTCGCAACTTGGATTTCAATCACACCGTGTTCGGCGTGGTTACGAGCTTCAGTTCTGAAATCTCGTTTAATATTCCTGTCACGCAGAATCCCGTAACTGGCGAGAACACGTTTCCCGTAAGCCCGATTACGATCTCAGATGCATCGGTTTACGTTGACGACCAGAACGGTGTACTGCGATTGTATGTGCCGGATGATGTTCCTGTTGGAACCACGGCTACAGTAACGCTGACTCTTACAGACGCCAACGGGGAGACTTCGACTGAGACACTCACGGTCGAAGTCGCGGCCGATCCGTTTAACGATCAACCGTTTTTCGATCCCGATCCAGAACCTGTGATTACCGACTTCAATGTCCCGGTTAGCTTCACACTGCAGGCGACAGACATTGAGAACGACCCGATCGAGTTTTTGGAAGGCACTGCAGGCGAATATTCACAACGCGGGCTGACACAAAACCCTAATGTGCAGGTCAGTGTTGACCCTAACACGGGTGAGGTAACGGTTACTCCTAACGAAATGATTGCCGGCACCATTGCGGTGCTTGTCAAAGTGCGGCAAGTCTCGGGGAATAATGGTGCCTCAGATTTTCAAGTCGTGCCAGTAAGTATCCGCCCGCCCGCTATCGATGGCGTTGTGCTGCTATCCGATTCGGGTGTTCTCGATGACAATATCACGGCGGTAAACAATTCCAATCAACTCCCGCTGCAATTTCGAGCCGACGGAGTTTTCGCTGGCGTCCCTGTGCAACTCCTGATTGACGGCGAAGTGGTCCAGGAGATTACTCCTACGGAAGAAGGCTCCGTGGTCTTCACCCTCGATGGAGACACGCCTGTTGCAGATGGCACACATGATGTGGTTGCCAGGTTGGTGGCTTACAATGTTTTGCAATTTGGTAATTTCGATCAGTTTGCTGTGCCGGGACTCGAGCACGAGCCATTGAGCATCACGATCGACACGCGACCGATCGTCTTCGAAAGCTCGCCGGTGACGCAAGCGACTTTGCTCGCGCCTTATACCTATGATGTAGCAACCGATCGAGATGGCGAAGCAGGTCTTGAGTACTCGCTTCTCGAAGCCCCAGATGGAATGGCCATTGACCTGATCACGGGCATTATTCAATGGACACCCACGGCCGACCAGGGAGGCGAAACCACGGTGTCGGTTCAAGCGGTTGATGTTGCAGGGAATGCCAACTCGCAGACATTTAGCATCTATGTCAACACTCCGCCTGTGTTGCTGGAGGTAGGAAACAAAAGCGTCGACGAAGGCATGCTGCTTGAAGTGCAACTGATGGTGGACGACCCCGACGCGGGAGAAACGTTCACGTATCAACTCTTTGGAGTCGTGCCGCCTGGTGCAGCGATTGACAGTACCGGCAAGTTCACGTTCATCCCCACCGAGGCTCAAGGCCCTAACACCTTCAATATCAACGTCCGTGTCACCGACAGTCGGGGTGGAACCGATCAGACGACGTTTGCCGTTCAGGTCAACGAAGTCCCGCAACCGCCGGTAATTTCTCCGGTAGCCGATCAATTGGTTCTGCCTGGTGGGTCTTTGTCGTTCAACGTCGTTGCCACCGACCCAGACATTCCGCAGCAGGGTCTCGGCTTCAGTCTCGATCCGGGTGCCCCAGATGGGGCGACGATTGATCCGGTTACCGGGCAGTTCACCTACAATGCGCCCGCCGATCAGCCCCTCGGCGAATTCTCGGTCACTGTGCGTGTTACCGAAGTTGCTGGTGAAGAACTCAGTTCGACCGTGACGTTCAAGATCAACATCGTCGAGAATCTTCCGCCGGTCTTCCCCGACCAGCAGACCGATTTTTCAACGAAAGCCAGCGAACCTCTGTCGTTCGATGTTGTGGCGGTCGATCCGGGCCCAGGGTCTGAAGAATTAGTCTATAGCCTGGAGCCGGGTACGCCTGGTTTTGTGACGATCGATCCGGCTACTGGGCGTGTCACGGTCACCACGACTCGACAAACGCCGCCGCAGACCGTTGAGATCGTGGTTCGTGTCACCGAGGCCACCGATCAAGACGCAACCGCTACGAAGACGTTCAGCGTGGAGATTACCGATCCCCCCAACCTTCCACCGGTATTCCCCGACCAGCCGATGTCGTTCACCACGCAGGCTAGCGTGCCACTGACGTTCGGGGTAACGGCCATCGATCCGGACGAAGTGCCCGTGCCGCTTATCTACAGCCTGGAGCCCGGCACTCCGAACTTTGTCACGATTGATCCTTCAACTGGACAGGTCACTGTTACCACTACGCGTCAAACTCCCCCACAGACGTTGGATATCATCGTCCGTGTTACGGAAGATCGCTCCGATGCTCTCTCGGCCACCAAGGTGTTTACGGTCGAGATCACTACGGCCCCGAATTTGCCGCCAGCGTTTCCTGCCCAACCCACGGAGTTCACAACCGAGGTGGGCGACCTGCTAAGTTTTGATGCGGTGGCTGTCGATCCTGAGCAAGTGGCGTTGATCTACAGCTTGGAGCCCGGTGCCCCGCAGATCGTCTCGATTGACAGCGCTACCGGAAAGGTGACTGTCAACAGTTCGACGTCGACCTTGCCGCAGACGATCAAGTTCGTCGTTCGAGCGACAGAACCTGGGGCGGGGGGGCTTTCGGCCACTCTGGAATACACGGTCAATCTGGTTCCGATCTCGAATCAGAGCCCTGTGATTAACCCAACGGTAAGGCAGGCGGTTCGCCAAGGGTTGCAGGTTAAGTTCAACATCGATGCCTACGACCCCGATTCACCGGCGACCCCGCTGGTTTACAGCCTGGGGCCCGATGCACCGCCGGAGGCCACCATCAACCCGCTCACCGGCGAGGTGACCTTTGCGGCGACCCCGAACACCACCGTGGGAGTTTACCGGTTTGGTGTGCAGGTTGCCGAGAATGCCGCAGACGGATTAACGACCGGAAGCACGATTGAAGTGCAGGTCAACCCGCTGGGGATTCGAGAACTGATCGGAATTGGCGACACGCGCTTCGGGCCCGATCCGTCTAGCCTGGTTCCTTCCACGATGGATGCACTCTCCTCGGCCTCGTTGGCAGGATTCTTTTCTAGTACGACCTCGACGAGTTCTTCACCTGGCAGGTCGCCGTTGACGCCGATCACCCCCGATAATTTCCCGGGCTCACCGTTCAACAACATCACCTACGGAGTGAATACCGGCGTCGGCCAAAGCTATACCAAGGACGGCGAAGAGGCCGAACAGGAAGAGGGTGAAAACCTAGATGGGGATCAACTCCCCAACGAAGAGAACTCGCAGGAGAACACCGAAGGCGTTGTCCCCACCCAAGCAATTGAACCGGTGGAAGATTCGGACGGGGACAAGAAGGCAGAAGGCGATGCCGCGGTCGAAGGTGAAGAGAAAGCCCCGAAAGCGGCGATGTGGGACGATCGGTTGATCGATTGGGCCACCACCGAGCATTGGACCCCTGGGGACGAGTCGTTCGCAAGAACGATGAACGCCTCGGTGAACCGCATGCGGAATTCGGGCCACACCAACGACCCCTACGACATCGATCTCGAGCCGCTTGTCGCTCCGCATATGACCGTCGGGGCGAAGCAGCAAGCTGCACATGCTCCTCAGTTCGGTCCCTCACGAGGATCGAGTTCGACACTTGTCGTCCCGGCCCCTGGTAGTGAAGAAGCGACGTCCACCGCTCAGGAACCGCCCGTCGAAGTGAAGAACACCGTTTCCGACGAGATGGCCACGGTCGCGGCAGCAAGTATGGCGATCTATATGCCGATGCTAGTGACCGACTTGCCTGAGGCCAAGCAATCGCGCCGCCGGTGGCGAAAGTGGCTCGGCGAAGGGTAATGCACAGCAGGCCTGTTGCTTGCCGACACCTGTGACCTGCCGGCTGGCAAGCTAGAGGATGAACTTGCTGAGATCCTCGTTTTGGCTCAGCTCTTCCAGGCGTTCTTTCACGTAGGCCGCATTGACCTGCACCCGGCCCATCGACATTTCCGAAGCTTCAAAGCTCAGCTCTTCGAG